TCAAGTTTAGGTCTGCTTCTTTTTGTAAACTTTGTGTGTCTGTGATTTATTTTTTGGGCATGAAAAGCTGGTTCCTCTAAGCTTCCGGTTCTCTCTTTTTTTATTTTATATTTGAGTGGTCAGATGGCTTTTGTCTTCAGGAGTTCCCATAGAGGCCCAAGTTGGATGAGGATCAGATGCTCTCATTCTTTCTCCTAAGGTGTGGATCCCTCCAGGAAAGATTTTGGCCTCAGGAATTTGGGGGTTGGACTGGCCTGGGAGCCAGGCCCAGGAAAGATGCTGGTCTAGCGGCAGCTGGTGGCCATGTCACCCAGAGATGCAAAGGCAGATGGGGACAGGAAGCGGCCCCAAGGGCTCTTGGGGACTGCACTGAGGTGCTAGGTTGGTCCCAAAGAGATGCCTGCAGTTCAGAGAGGCTTGTGGGTCCTGCAGGCCCAGGGAAGCAGAGGGAGGTCAGGGCGGGGCCAGATCCAGAAGCAGTGCTCCCTGGAGAGAGGCCTGCAGTGGGTCCTGCACGCCCAGGGAAGCAGAGAGAGGTGAGGGCGGGGCTGGGCCCAGAAGCAGTGCTCCTGGGGACCAGAGAAGACACTGAGCTGGTCTGGATGAAAAGGATCAGGAAGCAGTAATGGTTCCCCAGGTGTCTGGGGCCCCAAGACAAGAAAAATAAGCAAATTTTTAAAACTTTAAAAAAAAAAATAAGACAGTGACTCTCAGCGTCTCATATTTCCTTAAGGACAGTTGGCACATGACATTTATCTCCTTCCTGACTCTATTTTGTGTCCCAAATGCAGACGTTATAGCTAAAACTGTAGAGGCTAATAACAAACTGACATTAAGAAAGCATGAGACTCCCTGGAGATCCCATATCCATTATGCTAATTCTGAACTGTTTACTGCTTTTTCTTTCTTTCTTTTTTTTCCCCAGCTCTGGAGAATAACCCTAGGGTCTGACACATGCTACATATGTACTATACTAATGAGCTGCACTTCCAACCTAACAACTATTTTTTTAATTGAGAGAGAAAAGTAAACTACTTAAGCTTATATAATTTCATTATTATATAGTAAATCATAAATCTAACTGATACAATTATGACGTACTTAGCTTTCACAAGTACATGGTACCTTTTATCATTATTTTAATTCTATTATACATCACTTAGTCCCTACAAGTATTCTGCAAATGTCACTGTTTCCATATTATAAATAAGTAAATGAAAAGACATAATTTATCTAAGGTGAGATACAGGACTGAAACCTAGGTCATGCCCAACACCTTTGCTCTTAACACAAAACACAATAGGCTTTCTTATGTGTATTCATAGGTCTAAAACACAAATATGCCAATGGGAAATCCAAGCACAGTGCTTTAGGAAAAAGAGACCTATCATTACAGTTGATTGTTCCTGTTCTTTATGACAAGATCATTCTTTTATCATCAGATATTCAACACAACTAAATTCCCTTTCCTGATCCCACATCCAATGAGCAACTTTCCAACTTTGAGAAGTCTAACCATGGCTATGCCCTGATCACAAAGATCTTGAGTAGTTTTAGCACATAAAATAATAAAATAGGCCTCCAATATCTGATTTTCATGTTAAATTTTTATTACAGAATTCTCTTTGGGCCTGATAACTTATGGGCACTAATAAGAATATGTTTCAATGTGTTCAAAAAGTGAATGATATCCAAGTAGGTTCTCTATCAGTCAGTGACAGCACCACTTCAATTTCATTCATGCATATTTATCGGTTCTTATTTACAGTAGTAAAAAATTATGGAACCTGGGAGATTTTTATCCAAAAGAAGAAAATCAATTAATATGGAAAAGTGATTTTAAGCAAACAAACTAGAAAGTAAGATTTAGACTACTGTCTCATTTCATAGGATTGTTATCTTTCATCAGGGTGAAGAAAAGCCCACATAACCAACCAGGAAACCTAAGTAGTGACACTAGGTACCCAACAAAAGGATAAGTAAAACAAAGAAAGAAATTTTAGCAGTATTTTGAAAGCAAAAGGTATGAACTTAATTTTTCTTCAATATCCACTGATATGAAAGC